AGCTCCAGGATCTGAAGAGGGAGTCTATGGCTGCACAGGAGAGTCAGATCATCCCCCCACATGAATCTAGGCCAGGGTTCACTTCTCCTCAGCTAAGGATCACCTACCCTCCAGCGCCGCCTCCGAGAGCACACCCCCCTCCATTGCAACCACTGCCAGCTCCACCCCCGTCCTCATCTACTCCTTTCCTGACCTACAGCGGGCCTCGTCCAAGCATTCCCAAGCTCTCACGCCGTGATCCTGGGGAATTTGCTCGTCTAAAGATGCCGCTAGAGAACTTATTGCCCCCGGAGAGTTCAGAGCTCTTCAGGTATCAAGTCTTGTTAGATCACCTACACCTGGAGGAAGCAAAGTTGATAACGGACGCTTACCTCCATTCTGCCACGCCCTTCAGTGACACTATGAACGCTCTTAACGACAGGCTTGGGCAGCCCCACCAGCTTGCCCTGAGAAGGATTGCTGCTGTCATGGACTCACCTGACATCCGCCGAGGGGATGCAGCCACATTTGAGCGATTCTCTCTCCACATCCAGTCGCTCGTGGGCATGCTGAAGACTTTAGGCCCTGATGGGGAGGTCGAACTCCAGTGTGGCTCCCATGTGGCTCGACTCCTTAGTAAGCTTCCTTCAGAGCAAAGAACTGATTTCCGTCGGTGCATGTACAACCATTCTGGTCAGGCTTACACCCTGGATGACCTGGCTACCTGGTCAAAGTACGAATCCTGGTGTCAGGACTATGACGGCTTGCCCACTCCAGCGATCACGAGAGAGAGGCCTGATGTCAGACCAAGCAGACGCTCTGTTGCGGTTCTTCACAGTGGAGAGAGCTCACCCAGGTCACTAGGTACCACTCCAAACAAAGCTAGGCAGCAACCCTACTGCGCCTTTTGCGATAACCGTCCCCATCACCTGAGTCAGTGTCAGGAGGTCGCGAACAACTCACAGACTGGATAAAGACTAACAAGAGGTGCTGGCGTTGTGCACGCTCCCATCAGGCAGCACAGTGTACCCTCAAGAAACCCTGCAGCCTGTGTCAGGGTCGTCATCTGCAGGTCCTTCA